TTCTGTAACTGGTAACTATATAACCTATCACATTTTCTTCCTTCCGTTAGCTTTCTAGTTACAACCTAATTGCCTGATGTTGATAAGATTAAGTCAGCTCAGGTCCCAATGACATATTTCTTTTAATTGGTCTTTATTTTCAGTTGGTCCTTATGGATTTTTTTTTATTGCTGTTATTTTAGGAGCTATGTTACATTCAGTGTCAACATTGTAAAACTTTTAGGAATGCTATAAACATTTATTTGTATATTTACTGATCCTGGATCCTTTTCCAAGGGGAAAGAATGAAAAAGTCTCTGTTCATCTTCTTTGTGTCCCAGAGGACAGTGTGGTCCTGAAATAAGTGGATTCAAATGGCAGGATAATGGGGCCATGTAAAGGGAAAGTCTTACCTTGTGCTGTCACCCTCCCAAGTTAGCCTTCCCTAATTCTTCATGGAAGTGGAGCTTCCCTTGGTTCTCATACCCTTACCATGGAGCCACTGAGTCTGTTGCAATAAAGTAGTGACCTTATGCTTAGGTTAGCATCAGATATCATAAGGCTCTCAGGAAACTGTCTCTGAAGAAATGATCTGAGAAGAAACAATCCTTATGTTCATGGATGTTTGGAGCTCCTGAGTGTGGAAGGATTAAGTGTGTGGGAGAATTAACAAGATTGACTTGTAAAAATTGTTTGACACTCCTACTGACTGCTGCCTATCTCCCGCCAACTCGCACCAAAGCCCAAGAATGTTATCTGGAGCCCGGCTACACCTGAAGAGGGCTCTGCGAGGGACTGGCTAAGAAAGTATGAAGCATACCTAGGCCCTGGGGTGAAGCAAATTGGACTTTTGTTTCAAAGAGAAACTAATCATTCTCAAAGGAAACCATTTATTTAGCTTTTTTCAGACTTAACAGCACTGCACGGGACACTTACTGTACTGCCGTATCCTTCTGTAGAATTTTGAGGAATGAATACATCCGTGAGTCAGAAGGCATGCAACCCTCTCGTGGTGCATCCATAAAGCGCTGCTCTCTGTGCATTTCAGGACCTGAACATCCTGTGTAATTGTGTATCCTCCCAGGAGTATACAGTGCTCACCCTCTCCCTCATCTGTCCTGTCTCCTCTGAAGGCAAGGAAGCTGGGTGCTCCAAGCTCATGCTGAAAATCACTAGCAATAGCTCCTATGATTGGAGAAGTGGGAAGAAGGCTGGTGAATCAGCTTCTCAAAAACGGATTGTGACTCTCTGAAAGGCCTGCTCTTGATGGTATATTGCCATATAGGTGCACTCAAGGGATTTCATCCCTCAGTCTCCAGCATCTGATGAGACATGGAGAAACCAGTGTGTACAGTTTTTTATCTTTCATTCTCACTAAAACCCACAGCTTTCGTGGATTTGGGCATCATTCTGACTTCTCCAGCCAGCACACAGGGAACATATATCTTGCAGAAGGCATTGCAGTGTGTCAGGGCATGCTTCAGCTGAAGAAATAAAGTTTCTGTTAATGACTCCCACCAGGACAGCCATGAATTTCAGACTATCTGATGAAAAGGTAATTGTCTGATGAAGAAATGAAATGGAAATAACACTCCAACTTACTACAGGAGAGAATGGTTGGTAGATAGGGGGATATATTAGAAGGTGGTTATGATAAATTATTCTCCTTTATTTGAGATTTAAATGCCAACGTCATTACCTTTAAAGTTATTCATGTGCGTAAATTAAGCCACTGCCTTGAACTGGTCTTTACATACTTATTAAAGTACAATAGATTTTGCAGTAGTTGGAAACGATTACAGTGCCTCTCTTTGTTAATGGAAAGTCAAGAATAAATAGCATAGCTTTGGAGTCATGCCTAGGTTTGAATCCTAGCTCTGGCACTTAATGGTTTTTTTTTTTTTGTTATTATTGTTGTTGACATTGGACAAATTACTTAGCCTCTCAGAGACTCAGTTTTCCTCTGATAAAATAAGGATAAGATTCTAATGAAATTTAAATAAGGCAAAAAATATGAAGTCCCTGACACACATTAGATACACAGTAAATATGAGTTACCTTCCCTAATCATCTATGAATTCCACTGTAGTTTCAAACACCAAATCCAGAGTCTTTGGTACTTCACTCAAGACCATGGGAATAGCCCAGTTATAGCTATGCCAGTGATATCTAAGGGAATAAAGAACCCCACTTTCATGCTGAATGAGAAATTCTCAAAGTGACATCCTGAAAGTATGAATGAGCTTTCTCTTTGTAGGGAAGAAGACAGCCTTAACAGGTCTTTTTAGCCATGGCAGCCTGGCAGGTCACTTTCCAGCATCAGCTGTGGGAACATCTCCCTCTTCAACTCTGCCTAACTCTCCTTACAGAGTCCAGGGTCAGCTCAGACACTGTGATCCGCCTTTTGGAGAAATGGCTCTTTTTTTGTGACGGCATCACTTTCCCCCTCTGGATGGAGCCTCAATGGGGCTTTCAGGATAGCAGTTGGAAGTGAATTCAGCTCAGGGCAGCCTACAGTATGTTACTGTCTAGGGGAAGTTTCATAGGTGGAAATCATATCTTTCTTTCCCTTTTAACCACTTTTTCCTCCTCAGAATTGAAATAAGCAAAAGAATTCACCATCCCGAGAGACGAGTGGTACAGAAGCGAATGAATGGAATAAAATTGTGTTTCCTGATTGACTAAGATACTGACTCATCAAGATAATGTATCTCTGCAGTCAGATTAGCACAAGGGGACTTCACTTGTGTCGCAGCTAAGATGAGTTCCAGGATATTTGTTTGTTTATAAAAACACAACCCACTGTGACTCAGACCTTTCTAGCCTCAGTGTTATGTGGACAAAGATCCGAGGAGTAGCTGAAGAAGAGCAGCACTTTTCTGTCTTTGGATCCCCTCTCATTCTAAATGCCTAAATATTTGTACTTGTATTATAATTGCAAACTCTGCAGCGCCTGGACCTGTGCAAGTGCAGAGCGTCACTGTTTCCAGTTGCCTCATTATTCGTTAGAAGGGACTAAATTCCATAGGAATACATCCTGAGGTTAATTGAAGATGTGCAGCATATGATTAAGTGGCCTTTTAAAAAATCTAGTTACCGGATTTGGAATGGCCTTTCCGAGCTTCCTGAGCCCTTCAGGTGGGCCTGAGCCTCCAAACCAGGGGACAGTTTTTCTTCTTCAGACTGGCAGAGATAAGAACCACTGGCCCCTCTCTGTGGATGGTTTCTAGAATTACTCAGAGTTCCTCAAATCATAAAAAGCACTTGAGGCTGCTCTCAGCAAAGCTCTCTGAAACAAGTTTGATTTTTCATTCTATAGTGTTGCATTTCTGCTGGTTGCTCTAAAAGGGTCAAATACATTAAACATTTTAAAATGTGCATATTTTTCAATACTACCTGTCAATAAAGAGAGTAGATTTTAAATCACTTTTGGATTCAGCCCTCAATGTTATGATTTCCCATATAGTTAATGTTTTTAATATTGCAAAAGGTGTAATGTTCTTACAGTGTCCTGGTAATTTTTTCTGCTGTTAGCCTAATAATTAAGGTTCCTGGAGTTGAAAAAAACCAAAAACGGTAGCAATTGATATGGGTTACAGCGTGTGAGGCACTCTGCTATTGTTCCGTATAGATTCATTGATTTAAAACTCACAGCAGTCTTAAGAGGTCAGCATTATTCCAGTTTGACAGATTAGGTAACTTGAGTCCACAAAGGTAAGTTACTTGCCCAAGGTCACACAGTGACAGAGCCAGAACTAGAGCCCAGGCAGTCTGGTTCCAGAAACCCATTAGCCACTACAATAAACTGCCTCTTAGGTGGTACACAGGACATCGTTTATTTATTTCATTAAAGTCAAAAGGATAATAATGGTCCCTTACAAATAACTCTCTTTATAGCATCCCTGTGGGCACTGCTGTGCTCATTTCACAGATGGGGAAGTTGAGCTTCTAGTAAAATCATGGGTCCAGGTTCATGCAGCAGGTAAGGAGCTGGGATTTGAACCGAGTCCTCTGTGATTCCAAGGCCCCTCTGACCTCCCTGTGCTATCTCATTGCAGCTCAGTTGAAAGGATTTGCATCTTGTTTAAATGTGGGATACAAAACCCTTCCTAAATGATTAGGAAGCCTTGAAAGGCTTCACAGGGGTGGAGATTTATAAAATACGGTATGCAAAAGCAATCCCACAATTCCATCATTTTCCAGTTTCAAACTCTTCATACCACTCGCATTTAAAATGAGCATACTTCATGAGATGACCTTTTACAACAGGAATATTATATGAAATGGGCTCTCTTATCCAAATAGTCTTCCCATTACCTTGCTCTAAGCACTTCCTAAGTATATACTTCATATCCAGTAATTATCAACAGCTACCATTTCATTTCTAGATAATATTAGTCTCAACTCTGTTCTCCACTGTACAAGCTTTAAAAATATGCCCCCCCAGCCAGGCACAGTGGCTCACACCTATAATCCCAGGACTTTGGGAGGCCAAGGCGGGCAGATCACAAGGTAAGGAGATCGAGACCATCCTGGCCAACATGGTGAAATCCTGTCTCTACTTAAACATAAAACATTAGCTGGGGGTTGTGGTGTGTGCCTGCAGTCCTACTTGGGAGACAGAGATGGGAATCGCTTGAACCCGGGAGGCGGAGGTGGCAGTGAGCCAAGATTGCACCACTGTACTCCAATCTGGCAACAGAGTAAGACTCCATCTCAAAGAAGAAGAAAAAAGGCCTAGCCTATGATTTCAATTTACTTACAACTTTTCTTAGCAAGTGTTCCAAAGAAATGTCTACTTGGAGCCCAGTCTCTTAGAGAAAAGGTGGGAAAAGACAGTGTCTTTCACCACAAAAGCATATTGCCGCTCCTGGTGGTTATTTTCAATGGTAATGAACAAGCCAAACAGGAGAAATTCTCCCAGCCATATTTCCTCTGGAGGGCATTGGCAGCTACGGCTAAATAAAGTTCAGAGCTCAGCTTCTATTTGGTATCAAAGCCCTGCTGCAGATGAAGAGCATCCCCCATGAAAGCTGCTCTTTGTCTTTAGTGGCCGAGACTCAGGCCAGTATAGAAACCAACAGGGAACCCTGAGAGGACGGGAGAGAGGACACTAGAGTCACGATTCAACAGTGGCAGTTTTGCCCCAGTTTGTATAATTCTTAGAACGTTAAAGAACTTTGGAATTTGTATTTTTATCCAGCAAGGATCTGAATACTTTTAAAGACAATTTTCTGATGTAGCATTTATTTCCTGGTGTTCCTCAATTCACAAATATCTGTTAGAATTTGTTCAAGTAGGCCAGGTGGCTCAAACCTGTAATCCCAGCACTTTGGGAAGCCGAGATGGGAGGGTCACTTGAGGCCAGGAGTTCAAGACCAGCCTGGCCAACATGGTGAAATCCCATCTCTACTAAAAATAGAAAAATTATCTGGGCAGTGGCGTGGGCCTGTAGTCTTAGGGGGCTGTGGTGAAAGGATCACTTGAACCCAGAAGGCAGAGGATGCAGTGAGCCAAGATCATGCCATTGTACTCCAGCCTGGGTGAGAGAGTAAAACTCTGTCAAAAAAAAAAAACTTTTGTTCAAATAACTACAGTGAGATTTTCCAGAGGTTAAACTAATGCAAAAAATAGTTTATGCAGGAAAGATTGTTTTTTATAATTTTTATAATTATTAATATTTACTTTTAGATTGTTTTTAATAAATTATAAAATAAATCTTAAAAGTGAGACAATTACTGTAAGCTTTGCTGAATTTTAATATCATAGATATTTTTTCAAAACAGGCTTACACAGGAGGAAGAAAAGATCCTGGGACCTGGTTATCTAAACTCCGTAAAATGAGCTACGAGTCCTCAGTGTCCTCAAATGGACAGATTTAAAAGATCTCAAACTTACACATTCTTCAACTTTGGCTCAGTTTTGTTTGTTTTTAAATAATTTTACCTAGAAGCACCATAAGGAGAAGCTTATTCCTCTTTCTCAGTGGTAAAGCAAGCTATTAAAGTGATTAAAAAAGAGTCTAAGGCCACCTCAGACTATTTGCCAGTACGCGTTGAATACATTACATGCAGCGGCACTCTTGCTGTGCAGGTGGTCCTAGCCTGATGCTCCTGTCCAGCTTTATTGCCCCACTGTGTCTCCCTCATCCGGCTCTCATTAACCTTCACCTTCCAGCCTTACAAAGCTCCAGCCACTCTTCAGCTATGTTAGACTCCTCTTGCTTCTTCCTTTCTCATTTATCTAGTGAGCCTTTTATTCTCCAAGTCTCAACGTGTTCTATGCTCCCAGATTTACAGCATCTTCCTTTCCCTCTAGAAGGCAACATATCCACACCTTCATTCCACTATTTATCATGTTATATTATTTTGTATTTAAATGTCCATTTCCCACCTGACTACGGGCTTCTTAAGAGCACAAATGGGGTCTTCTGTCTGATCCGCAGCCCAAGGTATAGTATCTGGTGCAGACAGGAGCCTCATTACTGCTTGTGGAAGAGTGGGAGGGAATGCAATACGGCTTTGTCAATTACCCAAAATAATTAGAGGGAGCTAACTAATCTCTTTTATTAATTAAAAAGAGCACAGTGGTTTCACCATTTAAAAATTGACCGCTTAGTTTAGACCCATTACAGGTTCGGTATCCCTTATTTGAAATTCTTGGGAACAAAAGTGTTTTAGGTTTTAGACTTTTTGGGTTTGGGAATATTTGCATATATATAATATGTTACCTTGGGAATGGGACTCAACTCTAAACATAAAATTCCTTTATGTTTCATAAATACCTTACATACGTGGCCTAAAGGTAATTTTATACAAAATGTTGAATAATTTTGTGCATGAAACAAAACGTTGATTTTTTTTTAACTGTGACCCATCACATGAGGTTGAGTATGAAGTTTTTCACTTGTGGCATCATGTCAGTGCTCAAAATGTTTCAGATGCTCTAGAGAACATTTCAGATTTTGGATTTTTAGGTTAGGGATGCTCAACCTGAACTAGACTAACAGTAACCACTGAAAACATTAAATAGATCTAAACTGAGATTATAAATATGACATAGCAAAGATACATGTACAAAATTTATAAATAACTTAGGTGGGGATTTTTTGAAATTACCTTTTCACAGCATATTATACAGCCATTAAAATTAAGTTTCTAATGAATATTGTATGACACAACAAAACATTTGTGATGTGATTAGTAGAACAAGCTACAAAAGCCTATTCAAACCTACCCCAGTTTGAATAAAAAGTACGTATGCGTATAACTCCTTAAAAATGCAGTGTGTGTGTGTACATATATATTTGGAAGCATTTTTATGGAGTTATATTTTTTCTTTTTATATTCATTTATTTGAGACAGGGTCTCATTCTGTCGCCCAGGCTGGAGTACGGTGGCATGATCTCAGCTCACCTCAGCCTCCATCTTTTGGGTTCAAGTGCTCTTTCCACCTCAGCCCCCTAAGTAGCTGGGAGTTACAGGTACATGCCACCTTGCCCAGCTAATTTTTGTATTTTTAGTAGAGAGACTTTCACTATGTTAGCTAGGCTGAATTCCTGAGCTCAAGCAATCCATCTACCTTGGCCTTCCAAAGTGCTGGGATTATAGGCATGAGCCACCACACCTGGCCTTTTTATATACTTTCCTGTTTAAATTGTGACTATTTATAATGAATACATATGACTTGTGTAATTAAGAAACAAGGTGTCTTTTTATCTTTTGCCAGAAACCCTATTTTAATACCTAACTTCTTCCCTTTTGTTGCTCTCTTTCTAATAGAAATGTAAACCCTATAGGGGTGGTTATAATTATTAATACTTCTTTTAGAATTTCCAGAATAAGATAATATGAGATAGGAAAGCATAGAGGTGATTTTCCTTGCTACTTTAAGTCAGGAAATGATAAATCGTCTTATGAAAGAGATATGAAGAAAAGTTTTTTAAACATCAATGCATAGTATAGCTGGCAATGTGTTTTCCTGCTTATCTGAAATAATAAAGTTCTTTCAAACAAATAGGCAAACTATACAGCATAGTTTTTTGGGGGGGCTGGTGGTGGTGGTTTTGAGACAGAGTTTGCTTTTGTTGCCCAGACTGGAGTGCAGTGACACAATCTCAGCTTACTGGCACAACCTCTGCTTCCAGGGTTCAAACAGTCCTTTTGCCTCAGCCTCCCAAGTAGCTGGGATTACAGGCATGCACCACCACGCCTGGCTAATTTTGTACTTGTAGCAGAGACAGGGTTTCTCTATGTTGGTCAGGTTGGTTTCGTACTGCCGACCTCAGGTCATCTGCCCGCCATGGCCTTCCAAAGTGCTGGGATTACAGGCATGAGCCACTGTGCCCAGCCTGTGTAGCATAGTTTAATGGCTAGATGGCCTTGCCATTCTTCTCTTTGATGGCTTCTCTATCCAACACTAGAACAGCCTAATCTTTTTGAGGAAATAGAAGACAGGAAGGTCTTTGGGCACTTATAACTGAACAGACACACAGCAGCTACCTCGGAATGGCTACACCAGCAAAAGCAGCCTGTTCATTACTTCAGACACCAGACCACAGTCTGAACGCACATTCAGCAAGTTTTTGTTATTTCTCATTCTTAGCAGCTTGAGCATTTCCCCTGAGGCCCATCTGAAATCAGGCCTGGTGTCTGCCCACTTGCCAACTGAGGAATTCATTTCTCATTGCTCATCTCACATGGGGAAAGCAAAGTTGCATTTCAAATGCAGTAGTACCTCCAGATCTCTTGGGTACCCATCACACCTCCCTACCTCTCCCACAGGCCTCTGAGCCTTTCTCAACCTGGCAGGTGCCTCCAGAGTTCCACAGCCGCCCTCTTGTTCTTTCCTCACCAGGCCGGATACCCAGAGCCGTGGCTTCCATCAACCAGCACCTCCTGAGATCAGATGACGTGGTAAGCTGCTGCCTGGACCTCGGGGTGCCCAGCATCTCATTCCGCATCAACGGGCAGCCTGTGCAAGGGATGTTTGAGAACTTCAACATAGACGGGCTCTTCTTCCCTGTGATGAGCTTTTCAGCAGGTGTCAAGTAAGTTATTGCTGTGATTTCATGGAGAGTAGCAGTTACCCACCTCCCCACCACCACTGTGAGCTTCGGAGCCAGCAGTCTCCTTCAGGGCTTCAGCACTGTGCACCAAGTTTCCCAGGACAGTGATAGTGCAAGGGCGACAGCCATCCAAAGTCATTTGCTTCATCTCTACTGGTAGAACCTCCTCCAGGAGTTGTATTATGTACTCAGATAAACAGTAAGATAAAGAGGATGAATCCTGTGTAGAAAATTAATAATTATAAAAGTATTACGTGCTCAGTATAAGAAAAACTTCAAAGACATAAAGAATACAGTAAAAATCACCTGTGATTCCAATGGTTGACTATAATCTCTATTAATACTTTGGCATATTTTTCAAGTCTTTTTTTTCTACAAATATATGTCTATTTTTTAATTGGTATCGCCCTGAATATGAAGTTTATATCTTGATTATCTTTTATTCAACAATAAATAATGAGCCTTTTCCTGAGTCATTGAGTATCCTCAAAATGATTTTATGGCCATATAATATCCCTTTATTTGGCTGTTTTATAATACAGCCATTACTCTGCTGTTATAAGTCTATGTCAATTTCATTTTTATTGTTGTAAATTCTTATGAATATCCTGAAGCATAACTCTTTGTATGTTTCTGTTTTGTTCCTCCTTGAAATTGGTCAAAATGCATGAACCTTTTAAAGTCTACATTTATGATTATGTTGCCAAATTGATTTTGAGAAAGATTCCATGAACAGTTGAGAATTCCCTATCAACAACTTTAGAATCTAAAAATCTCTGAAAACCATAAATGTGTTCATAACTCATTTTGTCGTAAAATCTAACCTGAACTCATTTTGTGCAAAATTCTCATCAGCAGAAATGAGGCTGTTTTCAGTCTTTGATTTATTCTACTACTTGTGAATATTTATATGTTTAACTGCAGACATATTAATGTGTTTGATTCTGATGTACTGCCCCTCATCTGGCTGCAGGTTATGTTTAATATAACATGTTCCTTTTTAAAAAATTCTAAAGAATTCGGAAGTCTGAAGCACATCTCTAGTGATTTCAGATAAAGGATTTGGGCTTGCAGTATTACTTAAAGCAACATATGGGAAGAATGTTCACCTGATTGGACCCTCATTAAATTTTACTGTTATTAGTGGTGGTTAAATATTTGCTGATTTGGAAAAATAGTACCTTAGAGTATTAATTTTTTTATTACCAGTGTGGTTAAACATTTTTTATGTTTAATTTTATGTACTTTTGTCAACACAATATTTTTGCTAACTTGGTGTTCTCAGCCTTTCTGATATTTATTTTTTGCTAGGTATCTTACATATTTGTGTATATTGACTTTAGGTATGTAATTTATTTACTTATTTACATATAATAATTTTGTATTTAAGGCTGTTAAACTATTTTTATTGACTTCAAATATTTATCCCAGTTTCTGATTTATCCTTTAACACTTGAGTTTTTCCTAATGTGTTTTGTTTTTCTGTTTCACAAAAGGAATGTAAGTCAAAGAAAATACCAGAAACCCATAAGAGTACCACCCAGAGAGAATCATATTAGCTTTTTACATACACAGTTAAATATTGTTCATTGAGTTGGGCTCATGCTATGCATGCTGCTTTCCTATTTAATGTTGCTAACTATTTCTCTGCCTCTTTCCTTGTACCAGTTGGATGCTATTTTTAATGATTTTAACCACGTTATACATTTTAATGTCTGTAAGGCAAAGCCCCGTAATAACCCCTCCCTGAACTTTTCTCAGCCATTCTTCATCCCTGTATTTTAAAGACATCGCAATCCGTTGAGCAAAAGACTGGAGTCAACATAGAATCATGCTAGTGTCCATGGAAGCCCATGGAAAGGGTCATGACAGGAGGAGAGTTGTGGGAAGCAGGGGCTGAGATCTGGTATCACAAAGAAACTGTTTCAGGGATCCAGATCCAAG